CAGGAAGCACAGAAGCAGTGCTCAAACAGTGTGATAGGGACTTCTCGCCCACCCAAACCTCTCTCCTCCCAATTCCCTTACTCTAGACCTCACAGAGATATTCCTTTCCCCAGTGCACAAAGGACCCACAAGTAAACCTAGATAAAAATAAAAATCCGAGTCCAAGGGCCACCTCACCCTTCCCACTGCTCTCAGAATTAGGACATGCAGCCCCATCTGGTGAGTTCTTCTCAGCAGGTTTGTCACAACATCAGTGAACAACAAAAAACCCATCATAACATCCTGAACCACCAGAACACTCAACTTCACAACATTTTGTAGGTCATTAAGCAGCAGCTTTCTTAAAGAATATTCAAAGTCTAGTGGCTGCTAAAATACTTACATTAGAATGACACCTTTCTGCCAGAAGATCAGAAATCACAATGCTCAGAGTCATTTCTGTTTTTGAGACAAGGTCTTGCTAGACCCAGCATGTGCCACCACACCCAGCTTCTGGGTCATTTCTTTTTCTTTTTTTGAGACTGACCTGGAACTCTCTATGTAGCCCAGGCTGGTCTTGAACTTACAGCGATCCTCCTGCCTCAGCCTCCTGAGTGCTGGGATTACAGGCCTGCTCCCAGCCAGGGTCATTTCTTAATGATAACACTTATAATCCTTATTTAGATTCCTTCTCAACTCTGGAGAATGGGGTCTCCAGCCCCTAAGAGAAACAAAGTTCCAAGAATGCCACTTTTTAATTCCATTATAAATAAGAATCTTGTTCTCATTCATGTCATGTATGTACTATGGGACAAAAATATCCCTTTTTGGATTTGGACTGACTGCTACAAAGATGTCAGAATATAAGCTCAACTCCTAATGGTCTGTGTTGGGCACAGCTGTGAATTTACATATTATAAAAATGTCTCAATAGGCTGGGGCTATAGCTCAGTGATAGTGCACTTGCCTAGCATGTGTGAGGCTCCAGGTTCCATTCCCAGGAAGAGTGGGGGCTGGGGATTGTGTCCACAAATGAAACCTCAAAGATGCTGTGGTAATAAATACTGGCCATCAAATGTGAACATACATTTCAAACAGGACCAGTTTATGATTTTATGGTCCAAATAAAGGAAGTATCTCTTTAAAGTGATAGAATTCATAGTTATTACCAATGACTGGTCGTATTGTATATTACACAATTTGCAGACAGTCACGGAGGAATGCCAAATCAGATATCATGAAGGAAAGAAAATCATTTAAATAGTAAGTTTCATGTTCTGTTTTCATCCCAATAATTTGGCTACTCTGTAATTTAACAAAAAGGTCAAAGCCTAGTTCTGGGTGTATGAATAACAGTCACGATTTCTAAATTCCCACATCAGAAACTAAAACAGATTTTGGGCAGGATGTGAACCATCTGGCTTTAGCCACAGGAAAAAAAATTGAGTTCACTCATTACAGTTCATTTTAAAAATTCAACTTTAGAAGCCAAGGGTGGTAGTGCACATCTGTAATCCTAGCATTCAGGAAGCTTAGGCAGGAGGATCGCTGCGAGTTTGAGGCCAGCCTGGGCTACATAGTGAGTTCAAGTTCAGCCTGAACTACACAGTGAGACCTTAAACAAATGAACAAACAGGAAAAAAAATCAACTTTGCTTACAGTGGGCCTTCTGACATTTTGAACTAGATAACTCTTCATTGTGTGAGGCTGTTCCATGCATCTACCTACTAGATGCTGGCTGCACCCTGTCCTGTGTCATAACTTAGGACATCTCCAGACACTCCCAAATGTCCTTGGCAGGGCAAACTCGCTCCCCATTGAGAATCGCCATCTTACAGTGAAATCTCTAATGTGACATTTTTTACTCAGTGATATGAAATAGGTCACGGAGTCACTGAAGAGGATCCTGGTGCCACCAGAGAAAGTAGTCAGAGAAGTTGATCTCTGAGGTAGAAAAGTCATATTTAAAATATACCAGAAATAAACAAGAAAGCAACACTAACAAAATAAATCCTTTCAAAATAAATCTACATATCCATTTAAGTTTCTTTTTGTTATGGTCTCTCTTTTTAGAATAACAGCTAATATAACCAGGCCTGGTGGCGCATGCCTGTAATCCCAGCACTCAGGAGGCTGAGGCAGGAGGATCACTGTGAGTTCGAGACTAGCCTGGGCTACATAGTGAGTTCCTCGTCAGTCTCAACTACATAGTGAGGCCTTGTCTAGAAACAAACAAATAAACAAACAACTAATATGTTCATTTCAGATAAGAAACTTTTTCTGGTCCCTGATCATTTTCAATATATAACTCTGGATCGAGAACAGTATTTTTCAATATGACCTGTAGACAAGATCAATGGTTTTTTTGGGGGAAGGGGTACTGGGGATCAAACTCAGGACCTTGTGCTTATGAGGCAGGTGGTGACACCACTGAGCTAAATACCTGACCCTTCCAATAAGGCCAGTTTTTAAATTTCCAGTCTTCTGCAGAACAATACATAATCTCTCTGTGTGGCCTGGCATCTAGCCTTTGTCCAAGGCACTCACCAGTTGCTACCCTGAGCTGGTCCATACCCTGTTTAAGATGAGGCCACTGATCGCACGTATCGGTGTCGCATGTCTCCGTAATGTCAAAGTTTCATAAAAATTGAGTGCAGTGTTATACACCTGTAATTTCAGAGACTTGGGAACCCTGAGGCACAGAGATCACAAGCTCAGAGGCTGAGCAACTTCATGAAACTATCTCAAAATGAAAAAGTGAAAAGGCCTCGGGATATATCTCAGTCTTCCCATGGTTCAATCCCCAGTACCATAGGAGCTGTAATTTGAGACTTGGGAACCCTGAGGCACAGAGATCACAAGCTCAGAGGCTGGGCAACTTCATGAAACTATCTCAAAATGAAAAAGTAAAAAGGCCTCGGGATATATCTCAGTCTTCCCATGGTTCAATCCCCAGTACCATAGGGAAGGGGGAAAAAAGTGTCATAAAATTTTCTATATGCTTACACTCAATTTCTGATTCTCCTGTCTCAGACCACAATTGACAGAGCACTGTCCTGAAGCTCAGAGGCTGGGCAACTTCATGAAACTATCTCAAAATGAAAAAGTAAAAAGGCCTCGGGATATATCTCAGTCTTCCCATGGTTCAATCCCCAGTACCATAGGGAAGGGGGAAAAAAGTGTCATAAAATTTTCTATATGCTTACACTCAATTTCTGATTCTCCTGTCTCAGACCACAATTGACAGAGCACTGTCCTGAAAGTATAACTACAACTGAGAAGTGGGATTTAAACAACTTCTCTAGGATCAGGGGGCACAGTTCAGGGGTAGAGCACTTGGCTACCTGAGTTCAACCCCCAGGTCTACAAAAAAAAACCCAAAAAACAAAAAACAAACCAAAACCGAAATTTCCTAACTCTTCAACAACCAGACCAATACTTACAAGCTAATTTTTAATGCTTGTTTTTGTTCAAGAGGCACACACACAAAAGAAATTGTATCACCCTTTGATATACTGTACTAAAATTGCTATACTAAAATTACAGGAAAGCAAGAGGTTTTCTTTTAAAATCCATTTTGAGTATTTTCATTTATGACAAAATTATGAAAGTACTTTCAAGTCCATCCTTTATCCCTAGTATCTCCTGGCCTTTAAAGAAGTTCAGCCCTGCCAGGTGTGGTGCTGCATGCAAGCCTGTAGTCCCAGCACTCGGGAGGCTGAGGCAGGGGGATTGTTACAAGTTCGAGGCCAGCCTGGGCTGCATAATGAGTTCAAAGCCAGCCTGGACTACATAGTAAGACCCTGTATCAAAAGATTAAAAAAAAGGGCTGGGGATTTAGCTTAGTGATTCCACTGCCTACTGCAATTTCCTGAATTCAATCACCGGTACGAGAGAGAGAGAGAGAGAGAGAGAGAGAGAGACTGCCTTTTTTGTTAAAATATATGGGTGTAGGGTGGGAAAAAAGCAAACAAATTTTAAAACCTATTCTATTAATCTTCTCTTTTCTTCAAGGTCTTTTATTGTTTGTTTTTTGTTTTTTTGAGACAGGGTCTCACTATGTAGTTGAGATTGACCTGGAACTCACTAATCCAGGCTGGTCTCGAACTCACAGTGATCCCCTCCTGCCTCAGCCTCCCGAGTGCTGGAATTACAGGCATGTGCCACCATGCCTGGCCCTTCAAGGTCTTTTAAAACTATGTGATTTAGAGGACACTTGTCCTCCAATTAAAGTTCTGGGCATAAACTGAATAAAACAAGGTTAGAGGTGGCTGCATTTCCAGGCTACACAGAAATAACTCTGGGAAATGTAAGAGAGCATTTTGAGTTTAGTGAAGATGCCTTGTGTATCAGAACACAGCGCATGTGTATGTGTGTGTGTGTGTGTGTGTAATGGACAAATACCAAACTAGACAGGGCTACCACCCACCCTGGCTCATAAGCTTTCTTTCTGGGACAAATGTAAAATTTAATTCAACTGGGCAATCTAGGGTAACTTTAATGAGCTGTTTAGCTCATTTCCATGTTCATCTGCACATAAGTATTCCCAGCCTTTAAAATTACAGTCTTAGCTTTCAAGGGCAACCTTTATTATCATGTAGACAGACAGCCCTACCTTGCTTTACACCAACAAAACTTTCCCTTTAATACTTTGTCAGAAAATAATGACATGGAATCCATTAGCACAGGTTTGGCAAAGGGAAGACTGATCCCAAAACTGAATATTCTTACTACCTTTTCAGAGAAAGAGGATAATGACCAAGGAATACAGAGGATTGAGACAATGTAAAAACAAGCTTGGAGATTTTCTTCTCTTCCTAACCAGAGTTAGACGCGTAGTAGGAAAAACAAGAAGCCTCAGATCCAAACTTGATTCACTAAAAATTAAGGAGCAGCCTGCAAAGCCCTCAGACACCAAAGCTATGACACTAAAAAGCTGTTGGACTTTTCAGTCACAAAACCCAGCCTCTACCATGTAACCTAACAAAGGTGCAATTGTAAAAAAATAAAATAAAAAAAGGAAGAAGCAATTACAGTGACAGTGAACACAATGTTCCTTTTAGGGTTCCACAAAATCAGACGAATGGTGGCTTTCACTGCAGAATGTCTTCCCTTCCAATTTATTGCTATGTAAGTGTCTGGTGGTCTGATAAGTCGGACCGAATTTGTGGCCTGTCATCAGAGCCCTCTCTGGCAGGGTCGTTCTCCTCACCAGACTCCACATAGATCGGCCAGTCATTGTCTGCGTCACCCTTCTCCTGGCTTTCGGAGGAAGCCTCCACCAGGTTAAGGTTAATGGGCATCAGGTCATCATCATCCTCATGAGCATCTGTGATACAGGTGCAGCTGTCACATAGCCCAAAGCGCCGCAGCCCCTGAGACAAGTGGCTGGTGAAGGTTCTTCTGCAGCCCTTGCAGATGATCGGACGATTTGATCTGTGGACCTATGATCACAAGCAGACACGTGTCACATGAAAGGGGCTGAGCCATGCGCTAGAGACCTAATGTGACGTTTCCTGTCCTCTTTCCCTTGCTCTCTCTGCCAGTCTGAGTCTCACCAAGGTCCTTTCACCCTTGGGCCATTGGCCACGCATGCAGCATTTCATGCTCCCCATCACCAGCTCCACACACCTCTCTAATGCTTTTCAAAGAAGTCTTCCAAGGTGCTGTAGCCCAGCTTAGGTCCCTCAGCTATATACTATCACCTATATGTCTTCTTTTGTTGTTGTTGTTGTTTTGTTTTGTTTGAGACAGGATCTCATTATGTAGTTGAGACTGACCTGAAGCTCACTATGTAGCCCAGGCTGGTCTCGAACTCAATCCTCCTGCCTCAGCCTCCCGAGTGCTGGGATTACAGGTGTGCGCCACCACACCCAGCCTGTCTTCTTTTTTTTGTACTTCTCTCAGATCATTGATAAAATGTACTAGGCTATCAGCTGCAAGAGGGCAAGGCAGAGGCAATCTCATTCATTGTTTTCTTTCTTTTTTTTGGTACTGGGGATGGCATTCAGGACCTTATGTTTGTGATGCAGTATCAGTGCCACTGAGCTAAATCCCAATCTCATTCCTTCTTGGATCCCTACTGCTTGACCTCTAAAGAGCACTCAGTGAACTGATCAGGATTTCAGACTTTTATAAAATACACCTTAGATAGTTCCATTACTAGGAAGGCAGATTTGTTAGACAGTAGATTCCCCAGATGCATCAGCAGATGTCTCACCCTAAAATTCTCATTGATAAATGCATTGCTTATTTAGGAGAAGAGCTTTGCCTCCTAGAAAAGAGAACCTGATCTCCCACACACAGCTCCTCCCAAGGACAGCAGCCTCTCTGTGAAAAGAACTATCTTTCCAATGTGTGCTCTCTTCCGGAACTCCAGTCAGCAAGGGCTCTGAGAATCAGTCAGAGCCTTTCCAACAGAGTTCTGGATGCCGAATGCACACAGGAGGAAGGAACAGTGGCTGTGGTGGCACAAGCCTGTAATCCTAGCACATGGGAGGCTCAGGCAGGGGAATTGCATTGAAGACCAGCCTAAGCTATGCAGCATGACCCTGCCTCAAAAAACAATAAACAGCCAGGGAGGGTAGGAGAGGAAGAAGTTGGTACAGACCAACCAGCGACTATAACCATTCCGGCGGGTGAGGGCAGTGAGTGTAAAGTGGAACATCTTAGGGTGGCTTTGATTTGCGTTTACCCTAAGAGTAACAACGTCGAAGAAATATCTATTCAAGTCCTTTGCCTATGTATTTGGACTGCCTTTTCGCTATTTCATTGCCACAGCTATTTGTATATTTTAGACATATGTCCTACATATGTTTTATCCCGTTCTATGGGCTATTCACTTGTCAGTTTGTTTGTGGTACTGGAGATTAAATCCAAGGCATTTGCAGTGAGCTATATTCCTATCCCTTTTTAACATTTTGAGACAGAAGGGTCTCTCTAAATTACTAAGTTTTTAAAAAGTTTAGACATGATTTTTTTTTTTTTGGAACTGAGGATCGAACTCCGGTCCTGTGCTGGCAAAGCAGGCACTGGAACCACTGAGCTACATCCCCGGTCCAGTGTATGTTCACTTTTGATCACAGGCACCACTGGGAGTTAGTACCTGTACATAACATGGCTTAGAGGGCTGGAGACTTAGCTCAGTGGTTCTGCAGCCTGCCTTTCAAGCATAAGGTCCCAAGTTCGACCCCGGCTACCAACAAAACAAAACAAAACAAAAAAACCCCAAAACAAAACAACAACAACAACAACAAAATCTTAATTCTTTTTCACCCTCCCCTCCCCCACTTTCCTGGCTCCTAAATCACTGCATTGCGTAGGCTGAGCTAGAACTTATGATCCTTTGGTATCAGCCTCCCAGAGACCTGGAACTACTTGTGTACAGAACCATGGCTGTCTCACTTTTTTCGGTGCTGGGGATTAAACCCAGGGCCTCGTGTATGCTGAGCAAGCCCTCATCCGCTGAGCTCTACCTACAGCCCCATTTTTGTTGTTGCTGTTGTTTTGTTAAGGCAGGGCCTCGCTCTGGAGCCCAGCTGGAATTAAACTTACAGTCCTCCTGCCTTAGCTTCCCAAGAACTGGGATTACAGGCGCGTGCCATCATGCCCGGCTTCCATCCCTACATTCTTGATAGCTTTCTTTGAAATCCAAACGATTTTCATGTTGGATTTTCCAAAGATTGATTACTTTGCTCAAAGATTATCATAACTGCAAAATCTTTCTAAATGGCCTGAACCATGACATCCCCATTCTGTAGCTGGTAGGAATTAACAACCCACATGGAGACAGAGTCCTACAGGAAAGCTGGTTAGAGACGTCCCCATGGGGTGGGGCTCTCTTCACTGCCCACAGGTAGCTCTTAAATGTCAGCACCCCACTCCCACCCCAGGGCGCTGCCATTGGTGGGAAACTGAGGATACAGCTTTCCTTTGGCATCACACCAGTGGAGAGAGATCCACAGTTCCTTGTCCCAGCCCTGTAGTTCCCTACCTCATGACAGCCATCCCCGAGCAGGACCTAAATCTTCTCGACTCTTCCTCTTAGAAAACAGGTGTGTTACCCTCTGTTTTAACCTTCTCTAAGCACCACCAGCCCAGGTTTAATTCCGTAGCAGAAACATTCGCTTGGAATTCGCTGAAAATCCCCCAGCAGACGAAGAAGTAAACTACAAGCTGTCTTTACGCTCGCCTTAGGTAAGATCGGGAACAGCAACACTGCCAACGAGACACTGTCAACAGGGCACTTACGCTCAGGGCGTGGCTCCGCAGGTGCTCCTGTCGGGTGAACCTCTTGCCACAGGTCTCGCAGGGGTAGGGCCGTTCGCCTGTGTGGGAGCGGATGTGGCGCTTGAGGATGCCTTTCTGTTTGGCAGTGTACGGGCAGAAAGGACACTTGTGCAGCTTGACGGGAACCACCAGCACATCACCTGAGGAACCCAATGGATTGGTTTAGCGGTACTGTAAGCCATGACATCCCCATCTACCTCCCGATGGAGAGATCTGGAGCTGGGGGATCCCTCTGGTCAGATAGACGGAGAAGGCACCAACCCTGCCGGCAGGGTTGGCAAGGCGTTGTCTACAGTTACAACACTGGCTCCCAGTCAGCTGGAGGCTCGAGTGGGCTTCCGATATCAGGTTGTAGGGAACAGCTAAGAGGTACGAGCGCTCACATTTCTCTGAACATGACTCACAATCTGAAATACAGCTCACATTACAACCACAGAACCATATGCTATCGTGTGGATAGCAGGAAAACCTTCCCCAAACAATACTCCCTCTGGGAATGTCTACTCTGCTTGATTTCATGATAAGACGAGAAATGAGTTGGGAGTGGTGGCACATGCCTGTAATCTCAGCACTCAGGAGGCTGAAGCAGGAGGATCGCCTCAAGTTCAAGACCAGCCTGGGTGCTACACAGTGAGCTCAAGGCCAGACTGAACTGCACAACAAGACCTTGCCTTTAAAGAGAGAGAGAGAGAGACAGAGAGAGAGAGAGAGAGAAGTTCAAGACCAGCGTGAGACTTTGTTAGGAACTGAACTGTGCCCCACAGAATTTATACTTTACAGCCCTAACTCTTAACGTGGCTGTGCTTGGAGACACAACCTTTAAGGAAGTAAATGAGGTTAAATGAAATCTCAAGATGAGGTTCTCTCCATTGCTAGGATTGGGGGCCTTAGAAGAAGAGGAAAAGACACCAGAGATTGACTTCTCTCCCTCCCTCCCTCCCTCAGCCTTCCCATAAGGCTCATACAAGGGAATGGCTATGCGAGATATAACGAGAAGGTGCTTTATGCAAAACTGGAAGACAGCCCTCCCTGAAAAACAACCCTGCCCGCACGCTGATCTTGGACTTCAAGCTTCAAAACTACGAGAGAATAAATTTCTGTTAAGCTACCCAGTCTAGCATACTCTGTTATAGCAGTCAGAGGCGACTAATATAGACCCTCAGCAGTAATCTCGTTACCTTCAAATTGAAAAGCTCCTATGATTGGGTCAGACTTTTGGACTAAAATCCATGCTTTCTTAGGAGTTCCTAAGAATTTCTTCCAGGAATATGTAGAAGTTTGCTATAATGCAGACCTTAAATTGGTTGAAGCATATTAATTCTACCTGATCTTCTTTCCTTTCTTTTTTTTTTGAGACAGGGTCTCACTATGTAGTTCAGTCTGGACTTGAACTCACTATATAGCCCAGGCTGGCCTCTACCTCAAAGAGTTTCCTCCTGCCTCAGCCTCACAAATGCTGGGATTACAGGCATGTGCCACCATGCCTGGCAACTCCATGTATCTGAAATTGTCAGTCAGGAATTAATTTAAATCTTGTTCCAACTATTTTCCCATCCTGTTCATAAAACCATTAGTGACATCATAATTATCCACATTACAAAAGCCCTCAAGTTTTTTTTGAGTTACGTTTATTGAGTTATTCTGAGATTTGTTCTTTCTAACGTGCCTTCCAGATTTACAATTAAAGCTGCGTGTGCTAATTCACACTTGTAATCCTAGCCCTGGGAGGCTGAGGCAGGAGGATCACCACAAGTTTGAGACCAGCCTGGGCTGTGTAGAAAGTTCAAGGGTCAGCCTGAATTATACAGTGAGATCCTGTCTCCAAAAAAAAGATTAACAACATCAGTCATCATATTATCAACTATAACACTAGCAGGGCAGGCATGGTGGTGCACGCCTGTAACCCCAGCACTCTGGAGGCTGAGGCAGGAGGATCACTGTGAGTTCAAGGCCAGCCTGGGCTACATAGTGAGTTCCTGGTCAGTCTCAACTACATAGTGAGACTCTGTCTCAAAAAACCAAAAAAAAAAGTAAAATGGCTCAGCATAAGTTCTTGGGCAAAAAGGAAAAAACAGCTGTCAACAATTTTTCACATAGTGAGACTGTCTCAAAAAACCAAAAAAAAAAGTAAAATGGCTCAGCATAAGTTCTTGGGCAAAAAGGAAAAAACAGCTGTCAACAATTTTTCCATCTGGGGCGTGTGCGTGTGTGTTATTAGGAATTGAACCCCGAGTCTTGTACACGCTAGGCAAGCTCCCTACTACAGAGCTACATCCTGAGCCCTTATCTCTTCATCGGAGAGATATGAATTATCTCATTGCTTTCTATCCTCTTTCATGCTCTGATTTTCTAATACAAAGGCTGATCAAAATATATGGTGAATGTTAAAATTTTTAAAAATTTTATTACAGTAAAAGAAAGCCATATTGCCATTAGTTCCCTTAGAAATACTCCTCTTTGCTCCAAACACACTGATCCCTCATACTTGCCACTTTCTGAAGTAGTTTTGGAAGTTCTCTTTAACATCTTTACAAGGTGTGATAATACAGTGAATGCCACTGCCAAACGCTACCCGAGCAAGAAAAGGCAGGCTCATAAAAACATGACAGGGTGTCCTCATTCATCCTGTTCATCAGATCTGGCTCCACGCAACGTCTGGCTCTGCCCCAAAGTCAAAATGCCTGTGAGAGGCAAACTCTGGGAATTCAGGTCACTGAGGAAGCCACGATAATGCAACTAAAGATACAAAGGACTTCCAGAAATGCTCTAAAAAGTGGCAAGAATAGCGGGGCGTGGTGGCGCACGCCTGTAATCCCAGCACTCAGGAGGCTGAGGCAGGAGGATCACTGTGAGTTCAAGACCAGCCTGGTCTACATAGTGAGTTCCAGGTCAGTCTCAACTACATAGTGAGACCCTGTCTCAAAAAACAAACAAACAAACAAAAAGTGGCAAGAATGATGGCATGAATATGTTTGAAGCAAGGGATAGTAATTTTAGGGGGACTAGTAGCCATGTGTCTTTTACTATAATACTTTTTTTTTTGGTACCAGGGATCGAACTCAGGCCCTTGCACTTGCAAAGCAGGCAGACAAATTACTGAGCCAAATCCCTGGCCACTATAATACATTTTTAAGAATTTGAACATTCACCATAGTTTTAAATTATACCTCAAACAACAGTTCACATGAATGACTTTTATATGCTCTTGTGCTAAGGTTCATTTTTATCAAGATCTTTGCTTCCTCCCTCAAGAAAGTTGAGTCCAGGGCTGGGATGTAGCTCAGCGGTGCCTGGCACATGCAAGGTCCTGAGTTCATTCCCTGGTACCAGAAAAAAAAAAAAAAAAAAAAAAAGGAAATATGTAAGAAGTTGAGTCCAGCAGGAGAGAAAGATGTTTAAACATTTTATAATATGATGTAATATATACAAAGTTCAAAGTGATGAAGGAATATAGATAAGAAAAAGAAAATAAGAGACAAAACTCCCTGCCTGGTTGAACTGACATGCTAAGGAACTTACAGAGTAGCTGGGACTTTAAGCAGGACAGGTACATAGTCAGATTTCATGGCCAGATTTGGTTTTTACACTTGATCTTAGCCAAAAAGCTGAGAAGCGACCAGATCTGCCTTGCAAAAGGTCTCTCTGGGGACAACGTACAGGGGACGAAGAGTATGGGTGAGACACGGCACGAACTACAACAGCGGTCATGGGTTGGGAGAGGAGGCCACACGGAGTTCAATGCACAGCACTTGATACCACGTTCGCAGGGGCAGGGAGAAAGGAGGACAGAAATGCTTCTACATGACGTCATTCGCAGTTTGCTGACTGAGCAGGTGCAGGTGGACACAGGAGGAAAGCACGCGGAGAGGGAGGGAGGAGTGGGTTTGGAGTCCACCGTGCCGGAGGGAAGCCCGGGTCAGGCAGGGCGCTGCGGAGCAACGGGAAGCACAGCCTGCAGAGCTTGCCTGTGAATGGCGGCCCTGACTGAGGCCGGCTCTCCCCGGGGCACCTGTTTGCCTGCAGGCCGACCCCCGCGGCCCTGACACCCAGTGTCTGGGGAGGGTGGATTCTCCTTGCGCTGAATTGCCAAGTCCACGCCGCTGTCTCTCCCTGCTTCCTCAAAACCCGAAAATTTTTTGAAGCTGGTGTCAGCTGATGATCTCCGTGCCTACTCGCTGCTATGGTCATCCGGAACACTGGGTTCCTCATTTCTTGGAGACGCCGCCACATCTCCTGGGACAGTTCTTGGGGTGAATGCTGAAAATCACCCTTCCAACGCTCTGCTCTCTCTCTCTCTCTTCCTTGACCTCTTCTCTTCCACCTCCTCTCTTCCAAACCCTTGTTCTCTACCCCATCTCAGCCACCTGATCTCAACTCTACCTACATACGACAGTTATCTGGGAAACTTAACTTGATGTTCAGTCCCCAACCCAGGTTAATGGGGCACAGGGAGGAACCAAGCATCATATTTTAAATTTTATTTATCTATTTTGGTTTGTGCATGTGTGTTTTGAGAATTTTTTTCTTCTCTTTTTTTTTAGACAGAGTCTCACTATGTTGGCCTTAAACTCACAGCAATCCTCCTGCCTCAGCCTCTTGGGTACTACAATTACAGGCGTGTGCCACCATGCCTGGCTTATCAATTTATTTTTGTAGCACTGGGTATTGAACTCAGGGCCTTGCACATGATATGCAAGCTCTGGTCCATGCCCCGCCACTGAGCTACACCTCCAGTGCTGCTTTCTTTTTTTTGTACCAGGGATTGAACTCGGGACCTTGCACTTGCAAGGCAGGTGGTGGAACCACTGAGCGAAATCCCCAGCCCCCAGCATTATATTTTTAAAGTGTCCCTACTATTCTAACGTACAGTCAGGGATGAGAATCATGACCCCAAAGCCCTCTGCTTCCTTCACAGCTGAAATAAAGCAACTTAACATAACTGGAGAACAATATACAACTGTGTGTTCTGATCTTGTTAATTCATAACCACTGACCACATAAGATCCTTTGGATCTGGCAGGCATGGTAGCACACACCTGTAGCCCCAGCACTTGAGGTGGGAGGATCACTCATGAGTTTGAGGCCAGCCTGAGATACATAGTGAGTTCAAGACCAGCCTGAGTTACAGAATGAGACCCTGTCTCAAAAACAAAGGCAAAGAGCCAGGCATGGTGGCACACACCTGTAATCCCAGCACTCAGAGGTTGAGGCAGGAAGATTGCCATGAGTTTGAGGCCAGGCTGGGCTACCTAGTGAGTTCAAGGACAGTCTGAACTACATAATGTGACCCTGTCTCAAAAAACCAAATTTAGCTCAGTGGTGCAGGTGCCTGCCTGGCAAGTGCAAGGTCCTGAGTTCAATTTCTGATACAAAAAAAAAAAAAGACGATAACAATAACAAACAAAACCAAACAAAAAGAACAGATCCAAAGGATCTTTCCAGAAACCTGACTCTCCATATAATCAGAACTGGATTTGAATGATGGTGGTGCAGAAATTGGAATTACTATTTCTTTTTGTTTTGCTTTGTTTGATACTGGGGATCAAACTCAGGACCTTGCGCTTGTGAGGCAGGCGGTGGCACTACTGAGATGAATCCTCAGCTCTGGAATTACTATTTCTTGACACTTCTGCTTCTTGGCAGAGAGGCTGAGAGCAAAGTCGCTGCAGTGAAATCCTTGAGCCACTTGGCCACCTTTGCGGTTTCTCCATTGAGGGAAATGGCGCCTGCCCAGGTTTCCAGATTAAACTGTGCCATTTCCTTACTGGTTCTGCACTCTCAGGAAATCCAGTAAGCCCTTCCCAGCCTCAGTTTCTCTGATGGATACTTGGGGTATTAGGAGGGTGTAGCAGATGTGAAAGAGCGGTCATAGCCTCTAAAATGCTGCTGGGTACACGGGAAGAATTTCAACAAATTTCCACAGTGTGTCCACTGAAGCGGTTAGTATCTCAACCAAAAGCTAGTTAAACCAGAGTTTCTGCGGCCCAGAAGCAGCATTTTCAAAGTTTTTAAAGTCTAGTTTTAATCAAACATATGTGTATCTTTGTTTAAAAAGAGAGAAAGCCAGGTGTGGTGGCGCACATCGGTAATGCCTGGCATTTGGGAGGCTGAGGCAGGAGGATCACTGAGAGCTCAGAGCCAGCCTGGACTACATAGCGAGACCCTGACTGTCGCCCCACCACCACCAAAGAAGTTAAAAAGTCTCGATAGCCATTTAGTTAGAAAAAAGTAGCTGATTTCCTTTTATTTAAAAGGCTTTCACTATTCAATATTGAAGGTAAACTCTGAAATGTGATGCATTCATTAATTCCTTGGCTTAAGGTTCTGGAGTAAAAAAAAAAAAAAAAATGGGGGGGTGGTTGAAACAGCTTCTCACTATGTAGTTGAGACTGACCTGAAACTCACTATGTAGCCCAGGGTGGTCTTGAACTCACAGCGATCCTCCTGCCTCAGGCTTCCGAGTGCTGGGATTACAGGTGTGCGCCACCATGCCCAGCCTGGAGTCAATTTTTTCAGTAAGATGGCAGCCAAGTTGATTTCCATCTCCTAGCAGAAGCCTTGCAATTAACCTCATCAGTTAAGAAGAGTTAACCATGTTGATTTCTCTTTCAGAATTGCTCAAGGAAATAATCAAGTTCTCTTAAAACATAAATGCCTAGGGGCTAAGAGTATAGCTCAGTGGTAGGGTATGTGCTTAGCATCCTTGAGGCCCTGAGTTCAATCCCCATTACTAACACATACAAATCAGACACAGCTGGGCGCGGTGGTGCACACCTGTAATCCCAGCACTCGGGAGGCTGAGGCAGGAGGATCACTGTGAGTTCGAGACCAGCCTGGGCTACATAGTGAGTTCCAGGTCAGTCTCAACTACATAGTGAGACTCTGTCTCAAAAAAAAAAAATAATAATAAAATAACATACAAGTCAGACACAAACATGTACATACATGTCTACTATGAGGAATTGACTCCCATGAAGGCTAACAGTATAAATCTCCTCTGTAAATATAACATATTATCAGATGTGAGAAGATATTTTGGAAACCTTCTCCGCTGGTTCTCACCATTCAGGGAAAAAAGCAGAGCAGGGATGACTATTTTCCGTTCGAAGACAGCACCATGGGCTCAGAGAAGTTCAGGTATTTAACCAACGTCCCACTGCTGGTTAGAGGAAGAGAGGGACTTCTTTCCACGTCCCCAAATTCCCCTCAACATGTGCACACAGTCAGCCATCAGGATCCACCGAATCACCCAACCCCAGGTCAAAAATATTTGGAAACAATCGCGTCTACAGACAACATGTACAGACTTCTTGTCACTAGTCCTTAAACAGTATTATGTAACAAATATATCCACATAGCATTTTCATTGCAGTAGGTGCTGTATGCAATCTAGAGATGATTTAAAATATGCAGGATGATTTGTATAGGTTATGTGCATTTTATATAAGGGATTTGTGAGCATCCACAGATTCTCTTATTCCAGGGGAATACTGGAACCAATCCCTCGTGGATAAGGAAGGAGGGCTGTCCTTTGGCTGTGGAGGTGAAACACAAAAATCATGAAGAAAGAGCTGCCCTGTGTAGAGCAGAGACTCCGTCAATACCTAGCGGCGGTGGTCGTAGTGGCAGCATGATGGTGACAGTGGCAATGACATGGCAATGATAACGATGACCATGATGGTGGAGAACACAGGCACAGAAGGCGCGTGCAAGAGGACCGGAAATGACGAGTGCTAAGGGAGCTCACCTGAGTCCTCTCCGTACCAGTCCGTCTGGGCGTCCACCATGGAGCTCGTGGCTACTCCCGCTCCTTCCGGTCTTCGCTCCAAGCCTCGAGCAAAGGGGTGGTTCGCATCATCTTTGCTCTGGACGGCACCGCTGCGCAAGAGAGCCTCCAGGAACTGCTTCACGTGGCAGTTCCCGTAGGCCAAGTCCAGGGTGCGGCTGCCCGGCAGGCTCAGCGGGGCTGTGAGCGGCTGCAGCTGCTCCCCAACCTCCGCCTCCACCTCGGCAGCGTCGAATTCCTCCTTGGGCTCTACTTGTTTGGACGGAACGGAGCGGTCGCTGTCAGCCGAGCCTCTGCCACGGCTGTGTTTCTCCGCCAGCTCCAAGCGGTGGCAGTCCCCGCAGTCGTCGCTCGGGGACCGTCTTCTGTAGTCCACGCTCGCTTTGCCTTTGGCAGGGGAGGAGGCCACGCTCTTGCTGCCGCAGGAGGCCCCCTCCTTGCCCGAGCTGGGGCTTCCGCAGTCAACCTGGTGGGCTGCAGCCGCCACCGCCGCCGCCACCGCAGCTGCCACCGCGGCCTCCTTCTCCATCTTCCGGCAAATGTCAAGGGAAGACCTGATGTAGGCCTTACAGAAATTCACCACGTCATTCATCTGCAGGTAGCTGGCAGCTGACATGACTTCGATGACATTCTCCCCGCACAAATCCAACTTCCCAGAGTAAAGGAAGTCCAGGATGGTGGAGAAGGCTTCAGAGGTGACGATGTCTAAGGAGGCCGTGCTATGGCGCCCGCTGTCCTGGATATAGTGCATGAGCAGGGCCCGGAAGTAGCCGCTGTTAGCAAACAAGATATTCCTGTGGGCCTTGAAGATGCGCCCTTCCACAATGATGCTGCAGTCGCAGAAGAAGTCCCTCTTCCGCTGTTCATTCAACTCCCCCAGGAGCTTGGCGTGATAGGTCTGCATCTCCATTTCTCCACTGGCTGCGGCTGCTCTGGAGTAGCCTGTGTCTCTGCCAAGATTTTTGTTTACGTTAACTCACAAAGTGCACCCTTACAAACAAGACGTTCATTTATTTATTTATTTTTTAATCTAAGACCATTGGTTCAATGCTGTCTTTTTGATTCCAGTACCAGGGGAAATAAAAAAGTGCCTTCATGATACAGGTTATTTTGGATCTACCAAAAAATGAGCGTCTATTCAACTGTGCTAATTGATGAACAAAAAAATAACTATAGCTAACTGCATGTGGGCACAGTCCTCAATGCTTTGTATAGATTCTAAGACGTTTTAATTTTAATTTTAATTTTTGGTTACCGGGGATCAAACTTCAGACCTTGTGCTTCGAGAGGCAGGCGGCGACACCACTGAGTTAAATCCCTGACCCAAGACTTGTTTTAAATAACCCTATAAGTACTAATATTGCCCCCATTTTTCCAAAACGGAAATTGGAGATAGGAGATGACCTAGCTGTAATAGAGCCAGGACCCAAAACTGGGTCTGCCTGCCTCTAGGGTCAATGCTCTTGTGTGTTGTGTTCCACTTTCATCAAGACTCAAATTAGAGAAAATACCAAAATCTACATTTATTTATTCATTTATTTATCTTTCCTTACCGGGAATCTAACTAAAGACCTTACACTCACCAGGGAGGTGAGCAGAAAAAACCTAAATCTATAGCTCAGTCTCAGTGTCCCAATGTGGACTTTGCAACCGGCAAACACAGCCTTCGCTCGCACTTTTTATCATGACTTTGTGGAAACATCTGGTGGATCCCTGGGCTGGTCAGCATGCATTGTTCCTTCTAATGATTCCAGTGCCCTTGTAGGTGTCTGCCCCATTCATGGCCAATGTGCTTTACACAAAGCTGACACCATCCCCAGGCTCCAAGGACGTCAGATGTAGGACAGGCTACTACAATCGCTGTATCCCGCCCTTTGACCACCAGTGATTGGCTCAGAGATGGCTATAAGGTTCAGTTAGAGCCTATGGAAAAGGAGACATTTGCTGGCCTTTCGAGAAAAGCGCACTCGCCTCTGGGGGCGTGTGAGGGACGCTGCTGCTTTGCCACCAGGAAACCAGCTTAACAAAGACAGCCCCAGTCAGCTAACAGAACCTGGGGACACCATCTGAGCCCCAGCTCAAATTGTGCCAGAAACCAATTAAGTCCCTTATTGCTTTAGCTAGTCCGAGCTGGATTTTCTGTTGTTTGCAACTGAGAGACTCCTAACTGACTGAACTCTATTACCTTTGGTTAATTCCTTCCTATTATTTCTCTCCAGGCCCTTCTTTGTCTGTGGACCATAAACCCTAGGAAGGCACGAGCCATGTCTTATTTAATATGCTAACCCTCAGTACCTGGCAGAGTGTTCCAGATAAAGTATGTTTGCTAAGTTAAAAAACATTTTTTTTTCCCTTTTGAGACAAGGGTCTAACTTAAGTTACTTTTCTCCCTGCTGGGACAAAATACCCGACAGCCACGAGTTAAAGGATGAAAGGTTTATTTCAGCTCACAGTTGGTAGAGGTTTCAGTCCATATTCAGCTGACTTCAGGTTAAGGCGGCATGGCAGATAAACATCACAGAGGAGAAACAGTCCATGATGTGAAAGGCAGGAAGCACTGAGCCTGCCTTTCCCTTTTAACCCACCCAGGCTACAAGCCTTTCGGGTGGTCCCATCTACACCCAGGAAAGGCTTCTGTCTTCAGTAAAATCCATTCAACCAGAGCTATGCTAACTTCAATCCGTGGATTAATTTATTACCACAAGGCTTTCTTTTTTTTTTGGTTTTTTGAGACAGGGTCTCACTATATAGTTGAGACTGACCTGGAACTCACTATGTAGCCCAGGCTGGTCTCGAATTCACAGCGATCCTCCTGCCTCAGCCTCCCGAGTGCTGGAATTACAGGCATGCACCACCATGCCCAGCACTGTTTTTTGTTTTGTTTTGTTTTTGAGACAGGGTCTCACCATAGTGAGCTAGCCCAGGCTGGCCTGAAACTCACAGTGATCGCAACTGCTTCAGCATCCCAAATGCTGGGATTACAGATGTGTGCCACCATGCCCAGTGTCCATCCACCCTTTTTTCCACAGAGACTCAGAGAAGTTACTACAACCAAGTACAATCAGCCCTCCATATCCTTGGGTTTCATATCTATGTATTCAATCAAATGCAGATTGAAAATATTTGGGCAGAAAAGTCTGTATCTGTATTAAACGTGTACAGATTATTTTATTGTCACTATTCTCTAAATAATATAGTATAACAACTATTACTATTACCATGTAATAATAAAAGGTATTAAAAGTCATCTGGAGGGCCAGGGACTTAGATCAGTGGTTCAACTGTCTGCCTCACAAGCTCAAGGACCCGAGTTTACTCCCTGGTACCAAAAAAAAAAAAAAAAAAAAGTAACCTGGAGATTATTTAAAGTACCCACAAGGATGTACATAGGTTATAAGCAAATGCTATGTCATTGTACATAAGGGACTTGAACTTCGGCTTTTGGTATCCTCTGGGGTCCTGGAACAAATCCCCCACAGGCAGCAAGAGACAACCACAAGCTGGGGATTTAGCTCAGTGGTTCTGGCGACTGCCTCGCAAGCATAAGGACCTGAGTTCGATCCCTGATACCACAAAAAAGAAAGAGAAAGAACCATACAGCATCTCTCCACTGGAATCACAAGAGACCCACTGACAGTGGCCAACCACTGCTAACAACTCTCTAGCCACTCTTCCTTTCCACCAGTGGAGCAAACCAAAGTACCCCTTGCCCAAGCTACAAATCCAGTATCCCTTTCCCTCCAAAAAGACCCCTCCACTGCCAGAATAGATGCTATGGGGCCTAAGCATTTAACAGAGCAAACTTTACCCATTACAGACCCACCAGAGCCTTATGAAAGGGCAATTTACATCTCCTTTATACATATTTATAACAAATGGTAGAGTAAATTTAGAAATCAGAGAATCATTTAGGAAGGGATTAGAGAGGAACCTCTGTAAGCAAAAAAATCAACACAATGAAAAATGAGAACAGCTAGGACAAAGTGAAAGTTAAAAAATAAAAGCAGACCTAGGAATTGTTTCAAAATAACGGCTTGAGGCCATTTAGCTAGGCTATTAAATGTTCCTACTTATCTAAAATGGCCTAAGGGCATCACTAAATTAGAGCCCAGGGTTATAATTGATAGCCCCAAGGCATCAAGAAGATTCCTATCTTTTTATGTTCATTTTAAACTCAAAGAAGTTATATCATAATTTTAACAAATTTTTTTTCATCCAAAGTTGTTAAAATTAACATTTTGAGGGCTGGGGATTTAGCTCAGTGGTCCAGCCACCTGCCTCGCAAGTGCAAGGTCCCGAGTTCGATCCCCCATACCAAAACAACAACAACAAACTGTAAAATTAACATTTTGGCTCAAAAAGGAAGAAAACTGAAAAATGCTACTGTGCCCAAACAAATCAACCCTGAAAATTTTCACAGGGCTAAGATTTTGCTTTCATTCTCCCCCTCTTTCAACTGATCTAAACTAGCATTTTCAGCAGTTACTGCTACAGCCTTTGATAAGCAAAATATGGGAAAACAAGATATAGAAAAATAGCACATTTATTTTTAAATTAGCTTTATTAGTGCACTTTTGATATACACAATGATCACATTCATCGTAGGCAATTTGTTCCTGTACATGATATAGCTTTATTCCTTCTTTTTCCCCATTCCCCTACCCTCCCCTCCCTTCAACCCCTCTTCCCTTCCTTATTTACAAAAGCTTTCTTTCCATTTTTTCCTTCTGTTCTTTTTTCCTTTTCCCTTCCTTCTCTTCACTCTAACCCCTTCCCTGTTCCCCTTTCCATTTGAACATTTTCTTCCTACTTCCCAAATACCACATTTAAATAGTACATTTTATTCAACCTCAGAACTGAAAGGAAACCCAGCAAATTGGCAAAATCACATTTTTCAATGTGCTAACATCCAGCGTTGGTGGGGATAAAATGTAATAGAAAGAGCTTGGGACTATTTGTCAAAATTTAAAATGCAAGTTAGGTGCCAATAGTCCCCAGGAGGCTGAAGTGGACTTCCACCTTAAGCCCAGAAGTTCAAGGCTAGCCTAGGGAACATGGCAAGGCCCTGCCTCTAGGAATGAAGGAAAAAAAATTTTTTAAATGCACACAAGTTCATTGCTAGTAAGTTTATTGCTATAAATTTACCCTTTAGATTTATTCCCCAAAATACAACAAATTAAACTGGGTGTACTGGCACACAACTGTAATCCCAGTTCTGAGGGAGTCTGAGGCAGGAGGACTGAAAGTTTGAGTCCTGCCTAGGCAACTTAGGGAGACCTTGTCTCAAATAAAAAATAAAAAAGGAGGAGGATGTAGCTCAGTGGTTGAGCATCCCTAAGTTCTATCTCCAGTACCACAAAACAGAACAAAAATCAAATTATTAGTTCAGAGACATATATTGTACCAGGTTTTTGTAGTATCACAAAAGTGAAAACGTGACTGGCCATGGTGACATGCACCTGTGTTCTCAGCACTCAGGAGGCTAAAGATTATGAGTTTGAAACCAGCTTGGGTTACACAGGCAGACTGCCTTAAAAAAAAAAAAAAGTAGAAATAATTTGAATATTCATCAATAGGGAACAAGTTAAATCAATGACATTACAATCAACTGTGAAAGTTGTCAGAATCAAAAGGAAGTCACTTGGGCTGGGGATTTAGCTTGGTGGCACCGTTCCTGCCTTGCAAGTGCAAGGTCCTGTGTTCAATCCCCAGTACCACACACACACACACACAATGAAGTCGCTTATGTCAAGCACTGTAAATAAACCCAGGAGGGTAGGAAAGAGAAGATTTCATGTTTATTCCTGATAACCAAAACTATCACCAAATAAAAAGATTGCCACAGCCACAACCTTGCACAAGTCACTACAACTGTACACAAAATACTTCTGCAAGGACCCCAGTCTAGCAAGTATTTAATCTCAAATTGATGCCACCCTCGTTATTGATCTTTGTATCCAAGGATTACTGCTTCAAAATATCCTATGTAACTTCTTCATTTTGCCTTTAAAATTTTCTCTGTGGAGGCAGGTGTGGTGGCACACACCTTTAATCCCAGCACT